TCTCCATATTTAAAAGGGCACCAACCAAAAACTACTGCGTAGAATTAATTGGAATTTTTCACACACAAGCCTTGCTATATGAGTTCTCAAATCATATAAAAATTATACGGCTTAAATGTGAAGTTGGGTGCAAAAGAATACAATTAAATCCTCTGTCGGGAAAAAACGAAATGACTTTCCGAACAACCTAATAGATCTTCAGGGATGCAGAAATTTTATTATTTATCATTCCATACGGCTTAAATGTGAAGTTGGGTGCAAAAGAATACAATTAAATCCTCTGTCGGGAAAAAACGAAATGACTTTCCGAACAACCTAATATTTGAGTCCATAAAACCATAAATCAGACTAAATATTTTTTTGGGGTTTATTCTTTTAGACACAATGTCCGCGGGGTTTTAGAAGTGACGCCATCCAAACGTTTCGGTCAACGACTGAACCTCAGAAACATGATTTGCTACAAACTGCTTAAGCACGTTAGGCGGTGTACGTAGCCATCCTAGCACGGACCAGCAGAAAACGTAATGTATTTCAGTATTGATGGGTTTCAAGAAATTTGTTATGAGTCTGGTTAAAATTAGCACGGCAGACAATTCTGTGGGATTTAATGCAGTAGGCAGAAAGTGTTTTTAAGTAAGTACTTTAATAATTGAGAAAACGAACACAATAATGAAAAGAATTAATGACGGAATATAAACTAAACACGTATTGACCATAACTTCATAATCGTCTTCTTCGTTTCGCGGTTAGTCGTCCACTCTCGTCGTTCACACTTCTCGTACGCGTCACCGATCACTTGTTTATCAATTTTGCCCTCGCCCCGCGCACTAACCCGGACTAATCCAAACATATGCTCAATACTTCATATATCCCGCCGCTGCCGTCGTGCGAGTGGCTCCATCGTGGACTCCAATCCTTTGGACTAGATAACGGTCGTGGGGCAGCTTCTGAATTACTTCGTAGGGACCCAAGAATTTTGGCTGGAATTTTTATCCCGGTCGTAATTGCGTTTGCTTGATGGCAACAATGTCCCCAAGGTTGTATGACCTAGTTTCCTTTTGTTTCTTGTTGAAATACTTTCTATTCTCCTCTTGTATATTAGCAATGGATTCCTTGGCCTGGACCAGCAAATCACGTCTTTTTTCCACAACATTTCGAGCTTCTTGTTATAAAATTATCCGAAGTTCAGGATCGTCCTCTAATTTCGTACGAACCACAAACATCAACGTAAATGAATCAAACCCTGTACTGCGGGTCGGCACGTGGTTGATGTATTGTTGCCATCGATCAATGTACTTGTACCAATTTTCAGCTTTTGGATACGATAATTTTGTTACCATTGGAATCAGCGTCCTAATTAACCTCTCAATCTGTCCATTGCTTTTGGGCACCCCCGTTGTAATTTTCATCTGCTCAATTCTCTCAGAAACACAATAATTTTCGGAGTCCTGAGTTCTAAACGCTGAACCCCTGTATGATGATTCTTCTTGGATTGCTGAAACAGACGGATTGCTTCCTCAACCTTTCGATCGTTTGCAAAGCACTTGCAGTCTTGGTTGGATACAACCATATAAACTTGAACATATTCCCGAAAACTTCGGTTGTGCGTATCGTTACTCGCATCACTTTCGCGAAAACTGTTAAAAACCGCGCTGATTATGGACCGCAACACGTAAATCTTCGATATTAACATTTTCACGCTTTAGTTCAGTTTTAGAAGTTTTCACACTCTTACTTCTCATTTTTTCACCTACATTATTTTCGTTGTCATCATCAGCAGAACGATCGTCATTTTTATCAGTTTCTTTGTCTTTGTCTTCGTCATCTGCAGCGTCTTCTAACATAAGAGCAGTCGAGTAACAAGTTCGTCTTTTGTTCCTATCGTCCTCAATTTTCGTCGTCGAAGTTCCGTCTTTAACTCGTTGACTTTCATTAAGGTACACCCTTTGCTTCGTCTTTAGCTTCAGAATTTGTCTGTTTATATTCGCACTTTTCTCCAACTTCGCCTGCGTTTGAGATCGTTTTCAATTATAAGTAATTCGCCTACTGTTATCAACTGTTAGTCAATTGCTAATCCCCGTTAAGCCCCATAAATTTGTGGGGTTCGTGGAAAATCCCTACAATCGGCCATCCTGCAGGCTGTTCAACCCCGAACTGCTGTCTTCATCGGTGTCCTCACTATTTCCATCCGATTCTGAATATGGATGTGCCCAATATTTCATGTACTCCGCCGCTGTCGTCGTGCGGTTGGCTCCATGGTGGACTCCAATCCTTTGGACTAGGTAACGGTCGTGGGGCAGCTTCTGAATTACCTCGTAGGGACCCAAGAATTTTGGCTGGAATTTTGATCCCGGTCGTAATTGCGTTAGCTTGATGGCAACAATGTCCCCAAGGTTGTATGACGTAGCTTCCTTTCGTTTCTTGTTGAAATACTTTCTATTCTCCTTTTGTATATTAGCAATGGATTCCGTGGCCTGGACCAGCAAATCACGTCTTTTTTGTGAGCTTCTTCTTGTTCTAAAATTTTCCGAAGGTCAGGATCGTCCTCTAATTTCATACGAACCACAAACATCAACGTAAATGGTTCAAACCCTGTACTGCGGGTCGGCACGTGGTTGATCGCGAAATCCCTACAATTCTAATCTCGGAATGGTTAGAGATTTTATAGGTGCTCTAGGTGACGAAGCGTTGAAAATGACACGCAATTTCGCTGTCAAATTCGACTCTCAACACCCCGTGGTACGGCATGAAGTACTCCAGTAGCACGGTGTTATATGTGTCTGTGACGTCAGTCATGTGACAAAGTTGTCGTCTACAAAGTCCGTGTTTAATGATTTGAGCTTCGGATTTGCTAATAGCTTTCTTTCTACAGCGAGAAATTGTTTGCTTGCGAAATCCTGCGAGTCGCTTACTGATTCCGGGGATTCCTTAAAGGGAAGTGTGACTTCGAATCTGCCACTATTAAACGATATGTTTTTAACGAAATGATGTTCATTTCACATATTTGTTCCTCGTTGAGAATTGGTTTATGTTTGATAATTTCTTTAACCTCACAGAACTGTTGAATTGATCTTGTATGGAAATATTCGAAGTTATGTTACATCGTGTAATGCCATTGGGAGTGGAAAGAGGCCCGGCTACGATCTACCCTAATCATGTATTTTGCAATAGGGGGTAGGCAGAATTGAGATTAATCCTGCCAACTGACAAAAGTTTTCAAAACGCATACGCGCCTGTTAAAATGATGTTAATCGGAATGTAATTAGCATATGAAATCGATTTACTTATGCCTGATACTGTCAAATTGACGCATAGATTTGTAATAATAAAATTAGACCGAGGCCCACAATCGAGTAGCGCGAGCAGTCACGAATTCAGAGTCATTAGAGAGGCAGCGCATCTGTACAGTCCATTTCAATTCGTTAGAATTGTGACCTTGAAGAAATCTATGCGAAGATAGAAAGAATACACACTAGGCGTGAGCAAGACAGAAATAGTTGGAACGAGCAGAGCTCTCGGTGGGCGGTCTTAGGAGATCGGCTAGAACTGTACAGTACTAGACGAAAATGTTTAGCAATTTCTTAAAACAAAAATGTATATAAATTAACAATAGAAAACAAAGCAAAAGTTTTATAGGTGTGTAGAACGTTAAGTTAATTNGCAGCTTTTGCCCAAGGAAATGATTTAAAAGCTCACATTCGACGACATACCGGCGAGAGGTTTCACTGCGATCTTTGCAATGAGAGCTTCTTAATGGGGTATAGTGTTTTTAAGTTCCTTAATAATTAGTGTAAATAAATAGTTTTGTTAATTTTGTTAAACTTACGAATATTACAATATCTTTGTGGATACGATAAGGGCAATTTGACCCACGTTCAATGTTATAGCAGTTGTAGTATTTACCTACAATAAACGGTACAACGCTCCCGCTTGTAGCTGTCCATTCGTCAAAAGCCAAAGAATTTTTTTTGCTACTGACTCCCACGGTTTAAATAATCTCTCCGCATCTTGGATTACTGCAGTACAGAATTCAAATCGCGAACTATTCGCAGTGTGTCATCGTGCATTGTGCCACCGTGATTCCTGATTAAGGATTTACTAGTTGCTAACGCTACAATATGAATCGGTGTAATTTGTTTCTGCCTGAACAAGAAACGAAATTTTAATAGAACGAATGAATTGACGAGCAGGCTTTTGGAAAATACTAATAAACATAAACATACCTTAGAAACTTTAATAGATTTCGAAACGAAATAGAACGCTGTTCGGGTGAAAAAAAAAACAAAGAAACGATGTGGAGTCACGGTCAAACAATTGTGGCACATGTTTCGACGGTAGTTGTATAATTGCAGAATAGTAAACATAGCTTTATGCGGAGGCATCAGAGAGAAATTTCCAGTTGTTCTTCACTGTTCATTCTGCATTTTTAATGCAACCAAATATTAATAAAGATAGCTTTTATGTTTTAAAAATCGGCATTTTTCCGCACATGACTGCAACATTTTTTAATAGTGGAATCAACATAAGTCCGGGTGCATACTGTGTGTTTTCGGATTTTTTTTTATATTGAAGGCAGATTTCATTGACTCAATAGTAATGTTAGTTGAGAACGCAAGTGAAAACGCATCGAGTATCGGTGAAGAAACCAGGAGAATGTCTCCAGATGTTTTCCTAATATTGATCAAATATTACCAGAGTTTGACCCTGCTGGAGGTGATATAGTTTATTTTAGTATAAATGTTCCAGACATAAGTAATAGGTGTTTTGATAATTTTCTTATGTATATATAGTAAGTAGTCAGATGTTTTTTGGTACCTAAAATGTATAGTTTTTTAAAGTAACTTTATTTGCTGGTTTTCGTGGAAGATCATAATTATGATATACGTTTTGTAGGGTTAGAAAGTAGGTAAACGATCCTTTTTAAGTAGACTTTATTAGTGTATCGTTTCAAATGGGTCGTTGGTTGTCGTTGAACAGTTTTCGAGTATTGTCAATTTTGCTTTTCGCTAAATTTAAGCATCTGTAATGGTTTTATTATCAATACATTGTTTTCGGACGTTTAAAAAACATGGAGCCATAGTTTAAAATAAAATTCCAGCAGAAGTTGGGCAGATTAAAGTCTCAAGATTATGGATCACAAATGGTTATAATTTGATTTTTTTTAAAAATTAGCACGTTGCAATAAATTAATGTAAAATGATCACGGCAGAGACCACCGAGGGACTGTGGATGGTTTAAATAGTGTCACATTTCGAGATAATCTCGACCCTTTAAATAAAATAATGTACCTACGTATGAGTAAATGTCTGTTTTATTAATTTGGGGAACCAGTAAAAATAATCCAACATATGTTGCGAGTATTGGAGAAACCCTAATAAAACCCAATCAGATCGTTATACCATTAATTTCAAATAACCTTAAATTATATGGCAATAAGACTACTAAAGTGGCTGACAAGCACTTTTTATATAAACCTTAGCAAAAGTAATATAATAATAAGGCAATAAAGGACGTTATGGAAGCCAATAAGGAAAATGAGGTAGGGCACTTCAGGCATTATGGGGTGATTAAAGAAATACTAAAAGCAGGAGCAGGAATGAGATAGGGCAAAGATCGATCAAGATCATATTACAGTCAAATTTGCTACACATTTCAAAAGTTTCGAATTGTCGATTTTGTTTCTAAAATAAGCTTCCAATATAAAATATAGTCGAACCTGGATAAGTGAGAGCTCAAGGGACCGCGATCTGTTTTTCTCTTATAGAGGTTTCTCACTAACCCGAGTTTCTAGCTTACAGAGTTACAGAAGGAATCTGTCTCACTTATAGAGGTATATAAAAATACTGTTCGACAACACATTGAATTTTCGTTTAGACATTATGAAGAAGTACAGAACCATTCTTCGTAACTGCTTTTATGAACTGACTGTAATAAGATTGTTAAACAAGTTGGTACGCACATTTGGCTATAATAAAATAATAAAGACTTACTCAGTCATTCAAATACAACGTAAGTTCCTAGAACTATAGAAAACAACAACAGACGCACATTTGGTCATTCGAATGAAATAAGAGTCTCTTGAAATTTAAGAACGAGTCATAAAATAGCAAAAGTAAACTGTCGTTTATAGAGGTATAGGCAAGTAGCAATCTCACTTAAAGAGGTTCACGCATGAAAAATGACTGTCACTTATACAGGTTTTATGTTTCTCACTTATAGAGGCTTTAGAAGGGCAAAATGAGTTTTCTCGCTTACCCAGTTCTCACTTATCTAGGTTCGGCTGTATATACATTTCCTAGGAATTGTATACAATGACGGATTTCATACGTTTCCGGTAACATACACATCGAGTAGAAAGTAAATAGAAAAAGTGTAAAGGTCATTTAGAAAACACTGGCTGTTTAAAANAAGAAATTTGTTATGAGTCTGGTTAAAATTAGCACGGCAGACAATTCTGTGGGATTTAATGCAGTAGGCAGAAAGTGTTTTTAAGTAAGTACTTTAATAATTGAGAAAACGAACACAATAATGAAAAGAATTAATGACGGAATATAAACTAAACACGTATTGACCATAACTTCATAATCGTCTTCTTCGTTTCGCGGTTAGCCGTCCACTCTCGTCGTTCACACTTCTGTACCTATTGTGATGCAGCTTTTGCCCAAGGAAATGATTTAAAAGCTCACATTCGACGACATACCGGCGAGAGGTTTCACTGCGATCTTTGCAATGAGAGCTTCTTAATGGGGTACTTATTAACGCAACATAAAAGAACAGTTCATGGTAATTTGTATTGTTGAAATTAAAAGCGAATACGTCTATTGTATTTCGTTTTAGGACTGAATGTTGTTAGTAATATCCGAAGACTTAAGCCAATACATAAAATAGAGAAAACAGATGAAAGTAATTCAGACGATCCGCCTCCCTTAACTATCAAGCTTCCGGCCCCTGTTGTTCCAGTTAACGTTCTTCAAGCTCAGTTGGCAATGGCTCAGCTGCAAAATCAAATTGGTGACTCTTGTGAATTAAAATTTGAGGCCACATAAAGAAGGGTACACTGTTTAAATTTGTTTAATTGTAATATTAACACGAACTTGTTACACTTGAACCAATTTGCACCAACTTCCCAATTAGTGTTATTAAAGTTTGAACAGAAGTTATTTTTGACGATTTTTGTTTTCTTTGCATATTTTTTTTCAATGAAGTTTTGAGGTATATTGATAATAATTTATGGTAGGAAAAATTTTATTGTATCACGTAAGTATGGTTGTAAATAAAAATTTATTATACCCATTAAAAGTTCAATTTTATTTAAAGCAAGTAATTGTATTTAAATTATATTTGTAGTTGTAGTGATAGTTGGATGGTTAAAGTAACAATGCTGTTTCGTGTTGTGTAATGTAAGGCATTGAATTCGCTTTTTTTTTGAAGTGAAACTTCTTTACGCACGGTAGGGTAAGTTCGTTTTATGTGAGTTGCTATGTAACGAAATCATGCAACGGATGTCCCCCCTCTACTCGGCCACGTGGTCGAGTTCGTAGTGGGGATCGCTTGAGCCGTGAGCGCGCTTCAATGCAACGTTCGTTACAGGCAACTCCGGCATGTATAGTGTAAAATTTAAATTCATAGTGTACAAATAATACCATTAAACCAATTCCTTAACCCCTATCCCGGTATGTTTGTGTGCTACTACTAA